TCTGCTACTGTGGATGATGAAGAAGACCTTGATAGTTTTAATATTTTTTCTACATTTTCTAACACTCAAACCAGTAGCATGAACATTGATGAACTTCAATTCTACTTGCAGAAGCAAAAAGAGCCTCACACAAAGGAATTTTCAACGTTGGGATGGTGGCATGAGAATGAAAAGCAATTTCCTGTTCTTTTCGCTATGGCTCAGGACGTGCTAAATATGCCAATTTCAACTGTTGCATTAGAGAGTGCATTTAGCCAAGCAAGACAACAACTTGGAAACACCCGTCACACATTGGGAAGCAATGTTTTGGAAGTTTTAGTATGTTTCAGAGATTGGATTAGATCGGAACGAAGAAATCAAGGACGTGAAGATGTTGATAGCCCAGCAGACGAGGAACTTGGAGATATATTAACACATGTATCTGAATTTAACACTCCAGAAGAAGGTCACTCAGTTCATATTGATTATGAAGAACTTACTACGACAATGCAAAACCTTTGAATTTACTCTTTTTTGGTTAATTTACTTGTTGTTAAATGTAAACCTTTCAATTTGTAAGTTTGAATTTTGAAATAAATGTAGCACTTGCAATTTATAAGTGCAATTTTTTCCATCTTCCTTGTATTCTTTATATTAATAAAAAGTATTAATATAAGTTACAATAGTTATACAAAATACAAAAAAAAAAATTAAAAATACACTAAACCCGGCCCGGTCCGGCCCCTCAACCCGTAACCCTTACGGTTCAATTTTTACCCGGATGAATCCGAACCCGTTAAACCCGGTAAGCCCCAACCCATAATCGGCCCGGACCATAACCCGTACGGATCCAAAAAAATCCCAACCCAACCCGGCCCGGCTCACCCGTTTAACACCCTTGGTACTAAGGCCACTTTCGTGACGCGCCCAAATTCTTGGCAAAACGCAGTTGTGACCATAGTTTATCTTTAAAATGCATAATCTCTTCAGAGGGAAAAAATGATCAAGGACCCACTAATTACTTTCTTCTTACTTTTCTGATTGTGTGATTTTTTTTTTTTTACTTTTTTAGAACTTTTCAATATTCCAAAAGTGAACTTAAGGAGGAAGTTCCATGGTGGCCTTCAAAAGATCGATATGATACTTTCAATTTCTATGCAATTTTCAGAAATTCATATTTATTGTAGATTATTTAAATTTTTGATTTTGATATAATGTTTGAAAATGAGAAAAGGAAGGAATTTATCTCCATTGAAAATGTGGGGCGATTAATGGGAATGGCAATTGACTACGTTTCAAGAGGCACCTCTGGAGGAGATAAAATATTGATTTTACTTAACAACTCTATTATGCTAAATTAAATAGCAATATAATCCACTCTTTTTCTCTTCGAAATAGCAACATAATCTAGTTTTTGCATATAAATATGGCAATTTCATTAAATATTTTTCTCCTCAGAATTATGATATATTTTTTGAAAGTGATTACATGCAAGTGGAAGAATATTTGGCATGATCATGACACATGCCACATGCCATGATTGTCATAGAGACAAACATAAAATAGCCTACCAAAAGACAAAATTTGTACCTAAAAAAGAGCAATGGTAATTTTCATGATTCAAGAAGTGCTCCAATTGACGTAACTTCCATGAGTTTTTGTGCCTATCTAATCTATTTTAGTTTAATTTGTCTTCATCTTTTTGTCATCCACATTTGGTAAATATCCCGTGTATGTATTTTTGTAAGACTTACGTTTGATGACTCCAATACATGTGATCTGCATGCCTTCTTATATTACGTGCCAACCCGCATTATTAAAGCTAGCTGGTTGATTGAAGAGGATACCATTAAATTGGAGTTGTTGACAGGATCGAAACTTGACGGTGAAAATTGTAAATCATATGTATTGATAGTATTAAGATTTTATCAGTATATTTTAATCTGTAATAGTAAGTTAACTACTTTACCAAATTATTATTGGAGTAATACTAATTATCATAAAGTTACTTACACAATTATTTTACATGAACTAATTGTGTAGATATATTTTTTATAATGCATATAAGTGCATTTACTGCTCTATGACGACGGACAGCTAATAGAATTATCTGTATCCCTTTCGTCTTTATACTTTATTGTCAAATCCAAAAAAGGACGACGTAATCAGCTTACGCAGTGGTGTGTAACTAGTTAATATAGTACTGTAATACATCACTAGTGATCACTAATTCGTTTGGATAATGACTTTCTAGTACTGCTTTATGGTCCAAAAGCAATAGGGTATCTTTTTATAATATAGTTGGAAAATTGCTGCAGCCGAAACTGCTGATGCTTAGTCCTATATTGTTTCTCTAAACTATAAATCTTCTCAAATTATTCCTCTAGCTCTTATACTTCTTTTAGCCGTATATATAGGACGGCCTATTCCATTTTCTGTTTTAGAATATTCTTGCGTTTTATAATATGGCTAAATAAAAAAGAATATAATTCACAGCTTATTAATGGTGGTGATAATATTTCATGGATGTTGATAAGCCATCCTCCACGTGAAGGGCTCCTCATAGTAGAAATATTATTGCTCATAAAACACTGATCTTTTGATTGCACATGTCTCTTGACTTTTGTGTTTGATTCACAATACAGACGTAGACTTTAGCCTCCTCCACATAACTTCTGTATCACGACCCTACTCAGGGGAACAAAGGATAGAAGCACCAAAATCATCTATATCGATTTTGCATAACGTTAGTCGTAGTAATAGTTAGCGTACAGTTGGGTTTTAGTTTTAAGTCTTGTTTGTAACATCGACCAGCCAACTGCAAGTCAATAATTTCGACCAGTAACATGCAGGTGCTTTTTTTTTTTTAAAAAAAAGGATAATAATAACATAATTTTTTTTACTTCTTGACCGAAATTGATATTTACTTCATTTTACATATATTCAAGTAACTTATACTGAAGAAAAAGATGTTACTTACACAAACACATTTAAAAAAACTAAAAAATTGCAGAGCGAAGTATGATGATACGTTTTACCAAACGATGTCTCTGCCATTGCATATCTTGGAACCATTCGTCAATTTCTAATTCTCCACTCACAATTCATTTTCGTGGGCTGATGGAGACATTATAGACCCAAATACAATGCTAGGTCTCGTTAAGCAAATCAATTTTTTATTTTTTTTTTATTTAAAATTTCTCTGTCCTAAGCTCATGCATTAATCTTTTGGAAGGTCTATGATGGAATCTAAAATATCAAGACACCCAATCGTCGCAGCTGTGGTAAGCCAAAGAAAATAAAAAGTTGAATAGACCTTAAGCTTCATTTCTTGTCTGATAACCACCAATATATACCGACTTTATTAATTAAACAATGTACGAGTTACATATCTAATTAGCTTGGAAGGTTAGGGGTCATAATCGATGACGACGACGTCTCATTATTTACATTTTCTCTAACTAATTCAGAATGGCATAGTGATGCATTTCTCATAGTTTGCTGTTGTCGTTAACTAATTCCAAGTTAGAATTTTTAATTACAGAGAAATTCATGAAAGGCAACTTAATTTAGTTTAATAGTGACAGCCAAGGGTGTGAGTAAGTGTGTATAAAATTTATCGATTTTACTAGCCGTGAAGTTTGAGGTGAGAATATATATTATTGTCATCACTTGATTTACAAGTTAATTCTGCGTTCCCAGACCTTAAAAACCTCCCTTTATCTTACCCCAATTTGCGTGCGCAGTTCGGGTGTATATCCAGAACGCTTTTATGTGAAAATTTGATAAAAATGCTAATTTTGCCTTTAAAATTGAATTTAAGTTGACTTCGGTCAATATGTTGGGTAAATGAATTCGGACCCGTGATTTGACGGTCCCGGAGAGTCCGTAGAAAAATATGACACTTGGATGTATGCTCGCAATTAAATTCCGAGGTCCCAAGCCCGAGAAATGAATTTTTTGAAGAAAATTGTTTAACTGAAATTATAAGAGTTTCTGAAAATTTAAAGATGTTTGAATTTGATGGTATCAGCCCCGTATTTTAGTTTCCGATCCCGGTACTGGTTTTATATGGTATTTAAGTTTAGCCTGTAAAATTTGGTAAGAAACGAACTTCATATGGCGTGAATCAGACCCTCGGTTGTGAAATTTGAAACTTAAGAGTTCTTGAGATATTTTTTTGATTTTGATGCTAAACTTGTAGTTCTAGGTATTATTTTGATGATTTGATCGTACGAGCAAGTCTGTATGATGTTTTTAGGGTTGTGTGCATGTTTGGTTTGGAGCCCCGAGGGCTCGTGTGAGTTTCGGATAGGCCACAAAATGTTTTGTTTTTCACTTAGAAAGGTTGCAGGTTTTACTGTATCTGGTGTCTGATGCAGTATGCTTCACGAATGCGTAGTTACTCTTGCGATCGCGAAAGGGAAACTGGGACTGGGGTGGATTTGTTCTACGCGAACGCGGAGCACTAGGGGGCTGCTCTACGCGAATGCGACCTGTGGCACGCGAACGCGTATAGTAAATTGGAGGTGGGTTGGGATTCATCATTTCTTATACACGAACTAGTACCTTGGTCCGCGAACGTGAAGGTCAAGGGGGCTTACCCTTCGCGAACGCGTAGGAGAAATCGCGATCGCGTAAGCCTGAGGAAGGCGGCTTTTCGCGAACACGGCAGGCCTTTCGCGAACGCGAAGAAATCCTACCCAGTCTTCTTTAAACAGTAGCAAAATCGGGAATTAACCCACATTTTCATATTTTCAAAATTAGAGAGCATTGAGGCGATTTTCAAGAAGCAAGTTCTTCCCCAAAATATTGGTATATGATTCTAAACCTTTTTCTTTCGATTTCCCTTTGCATTTCATCAATCTTCATCCAAAAATCTAGGGTTTTTATGGTAGAAATTGGAAATTTGGGTAGAGTTAGGGCTTTTTGAATAATTAGAATTCAGACCTAGTTTTGGGATCAGATTTCAAAACTAATTGCATATTCGGGCTCGTGGGTGAATGGGTGATCGGGTTTTGGTCCAATCCTCGAGTTTTGACCAAGCGGGCTCTGGGGTCGATTTTTGACTTTTGGGAAAAAATGATAGAAAACCTATAATTAAGCATTGGGTATGAATTCTTTAAAATTTATTGATGTTGTTAAATTAGTTTGGGTTAGATACAAGTAAATTGGAGGCGAATTCTAAAGGAAAAGCGGTGTTTGAGGCTTGAGTTGACCGTGGAAGTTCGAGGTAAGTGTTTGGTCTATCCTTAGCTTGGGGGAATAGATATTGTGCCTTAATTGCTCTGTGCTAGTGTAGTGTACGATGTATAGGTGTGGTGACGAGTATCTATACATTGGTGTCAAGCATGTCCGTGAGTCTTAAATTGTGATCGTTGTGTTTCTTAATAAGTACT